AGAGAGAGAGTATGGGGGAAGTTGTCTGCTGTGGAGGCAGGGGTGGGAGTGGAAAGGGAGGGTATATTGGGGACATTGGTGGTGGAGAATATGTACTGGTGGAGGGATGGGTATTTGATCATTGTGTGATCGAAACTCAAACATGAAAGCTTTGTAACTGTAGCTCATGGTGATTCAATAAAAAAAACAAGTAGCTAAAGTTGGCACAGTGTTAACGGTAGCAAATCTAGGTGATAAGGATACAAGTGGATATAAATTACTCTTATTCAGCACTGTAGCACTGTCCTCCTGTTGTTCATCGTTTTGCTCGAGCGGGCCCAGTAACATTGTGAGACGTGTTACTGTGTTTGGCATATCAAATACGTCACGGGTAGCTTGCCAGGCTTTGCCGTGCGGGCAAGATACTCTTGGTAGCTTGCCGGGCTCTCCGAGAGGGGCGAAGGAATCGAACCTGGGCCGACCAGCTCGGCTGCATGCAAGGCAAGCTCCTTACCTGCTGTGCTATCACTCCTATACATTTTTAATAGTAAAGGTCGATTTATAAATTAAATCACTAAATTTATAGTAATATAAACTCTTTTCTAGTTCATTATATTAAAAGAATATAGTACTGCTTTTAAAGTAACTAGAAATAATTTTCACTTTTTAACTCTAAAGTATGTAGAACATTGAATATGCTCCTGAGTCATTCAAATGAGAATTTCCATCACCCTAGTGAGTGGTATAACCACAGGCAGATTCTCAATTTCCTAGTTGTCTATAAAATGAGTGGCATAACAAGGCTTCTTTGAAAAGGTGGTTGTAAATCTGTAAAATTCTTAGCTCAGTGCCTAGCAAGTAGAAAATACCATAATCTCATCTTCTATTACTTTATTTTTTATTAGTGAAACACCATGAGGTACAGTTATAGACTTACAAATTTTTGTGCTTGGGTTTCAGTTATACAAGGATCAAGTACCCATCCCTCCACCAGCGCCCATCCTCCACTACCACGTGTCCCAGCATCCCTCCCACCCCCCACTCCTCCCATTCCACCCTGCCTCTGTGGCAGGGCATTCCCCCTTGTTCTCTCTCTCTTCTTTTAGGCCCTGTGTTTTGGAAGAGAGTCATTGAGTGGCAATCATGTTTGGTCTATAGTCTACTTTCAGCATGCTTCTCCCACCCTGGGAGGATCCTCACAACACCCTTTATTTGGTGCTCTCTTCTCTATCATCTTCTATTACTTTTATTACAAATTCTAAGTTCTTCATTCAATTAGAAAATGTAATGGAGAAGCTCTGTACTTTAAATCATCTCTACTGCATATAGCTGTGTTCTTTGATTTTGGGCCTATTGCAAATCCTTAGGGGACCAGACCATTTTAATAGGCGTGTAAGAATTACTTGTAATTAGTATGTAAATTGTTGTAATTAATTTTTATTACGTAAATGAAAATGTTTTTCTCTACTGCTTTAATATTTTCTGTGACTCTGTCTTATAAGTATTTGCATTAAGATTTCCAAATGGGGGGGCTGGAGCAATAGTACAGCGGGTAGGGCATATGCCTTGCAAACAGCCGACCCAGGTTCAAATCCTAGCATCCCATAGGGTTCCCCGAGCACTGCAAGGAGTAATTCCTGAGTGCAGAGCCAGAAATAACTCCTGAGCATTGCAGGGTGTGACAAAAAAAAAAAAAGATTTCCAAATGGTAGAAATTTTTTTTTTGTAAAGCAAGGAAAGTTTTGCTAAAACTTATTGAGAAAGATGTGAGGAGAGAGAGAGAAGAAGTACATGTTTAAGAGAGAACACAGATTTCTCGAGAGTGGAATTAAGCAAGGAAAGAAACATTGAAATAAGCAAGCAAGATATGTGTTCAAATTTGAACATGGGCTTGAAGAGCAAACCCCAAATATTAGAAAACTTTTTGTTGAATTATACGTTAGAAGCATCTAAGTTTAAAGGGTTTTTTTGATGTGTTTGGGAAAATGAAACTAACATTTTTAATAGGTAGAACTTAAAATGAGGGCTGGAGAGATAGCACAGCAGGTAGGGTGTTTGCCCTGCATGCGGTTGACCTGGGTTTGATTCCCAGCATCCCATATGGTCCTCTGAGCACTGCCAGGCATAACTCCTGAGTGCAGAGCCATGAGTAAACCCTGTGCATCGCCGGGGTTTCCAAAAAGGAAAAAAAAAGAACTCAAAATGAGTATTCTCAATTCTTTTGGATGTTCAAGCTATTAGTAGACAGGTAATTCTTAGAGAGCAAATTAATTACATGAGAGAGTTTTCCTGGTGTTTGAAAAGTAGAGATTTATGTGTTTTAAAGCTGGCTACAAAATTGTTTAAAGAAATATAAAAATTAGACCTCTTATTTTTCTGTTAAATTACTTCCATTTTGTTCTTAGCATAACTTGCTACTAACATTTTTGAGTATTTCATCCTAAAGACAGTCTCCAGTTATTAATATCTGCTGCTAAATGTTTTAAGTCATTTAAAATAATAAAATATTATGGCAAATATATATTCAATTAAGAGGATGAAGGGAACTTTTCCTTTTCTAGCATTATACATGGTCATTATTCTATGTGTAATAGAAAAGAGAAAAAGTTGTATGGTCTTATGTGTATCATCCTAGTAAAAAGACTAAACTCCTAGAAAAAGTAGAGGAATGATTTCCCTGATTGAGGGACTTCAAGACATGGGACAAGGAGAGCTTATAAATCTAAGATGAGGAAGATCTGAGGATCTAGAAATATCCTCAAAATGTGAAACATAAATGTTCTCAATGAAAAATAAAAGATAAGGGTATGAATATGTTAACTAGGTCATGATATTTCTTTCACCATATATATTTTGTAATGAACACAGAATATATAGTTTTGTCAATACTATCACAATAAAACTTCAAATTTACTTGAAAGTAAATTTTTTAAAGATGTTTTATGCTCTCACATGATTAATGTTTTTGTTTTCACTTAGTGGGTTGTGTGATCAAGCAAATATTTTTACCTATGCATGAATAAAACTGTTAAAAATGAAAATACCATGATATTGTTTGACAATGATATAATGTAAATTGAAACAGAGTGTAGGAGAGATGTAATAGACCTGCCTAGAGAAAGGAGCCAATTATATTAAAATGAACAAAATTCACTTCTACTATGTGTGTTCTACAAATACCAACTGGGATAGAATTATTCTCATTATTTTTATTCAGAAGCAATGGAAATACAGCTCATTAAAACAAGGAAGGAATAGGTATTTAAATCTGCATAGTTCATAGAAGTAGCTTTTTCTGTCACATTATAATATAGGTCATCCACCTGCTGAAATAAATGATTTCCTAGATATTAAAATCCATATGGCCAAAACCCACAATCGTAAATCTGTGTAACATATGGAAAAAACACAAGAACAAATATCTGATTATCTAATTGGAATTGTATTATGAGATGAAAATTCTCTCAATAACTTGACCTAGTTGGGGAGAAAGCTGCAAAGATAGGAAGCTTTCCAACATGGTCAAATGAATTCTTTCAGAAATGACCATTTCTCAAGATGAAGTTGGTAGGGTAGGAGTTGACCTGTAGAAATAAATGTGTGTGTGTGCTTTATAGGCTGGCGTGTCTGGGTATGCTAGCAAGAATGACCTGGAGGTGAAACTGGAAGAATCTGCTGAAAAGTTAATAGCCTCCCTCCCCAAGTACACCTGAGACATCTATCAACCAAAATTTATAGCAAAAGTTTTATAAAAGGCTAGTGCAGCTGGGTAGGGTGTTTTCCTTGCATGTGGCCAACCCAGGTTCAATCCCCAGCATCCAGTATAGCCCCCCACGCATCAGAAGTGATTCCTGAGTACAGAGCCAGGACTGTTATCCCTTGAGCATTGGTAGGTGTCACCAAAAAATAAATAAATAAAATAAAATATGTTTTAAAAAGTTTGTAATGCTCTATCTCACAGTGATTCTATAAAAAAAATTTAAAAAATAACTCCTAAAAGTAAAAACAAAGTTTAAAAAAATAAGGGTTTCTAGGAAACCTTATTTGTGGGAGTTTGTTTGGGCCAGAATAGACTATAGAGAAAGCTTCAGGAAGAGTAGCTGGGTATTTGGTCTAAAGCTGAGTATGAGGGCTATCATTCATCTATAGAAGTTTTACAGAAAATGTCATACATATTTGGGCGGGAAAAATTAGCATGTGTAGATGAGAACTATGCAAGGAATACATTTATTACCTAAGTACTAAAGTGAACAGCAAATAATTGAGAAATATTACCACAGCATGTTTTTAGTATGATTATGAGATAGTTAACTGAGGTATAAGGGAGTGTTCCACTCTGTAGCTTCCAGTTCTATCTAGGCAAGAGATCATCATCTCTATCAAAGTATTTCTTGGTTCAGTCAAAGTCAGAAAACTGTCTTAGAGCAGTGTCATAGTTTCCAAACTACAGTTTTCCCACCAGTGATTTTTTTTTGTTTGTTTTCCTGACTTTCTTTTTCCTAGAGAATATGTTTTTTGAGAGATGGAGTACAGAGTGGCACAGGGTTTTGATAATTTGAACATTCATTCAAATTTATGCAATTGCATGTAGTGGGGTTTGAACTCAGTTATGTCCAAACTCAAAATTCTGTTTTTTTTTTTTTTTGGTTTGCTTTTATGTTTGTTTTTTTGAGCAGTGAGGTGCATGCAGAGGTATTTGGAAGTTACTCCCAAGTCTATGCCCAGAGGTCATTCTTGGCAGTGTTCAGAAGACCATGCATTACTTGGGACTGAACTATGTCTCTACCTGCAAAGCATGTGGTCTGTTCTTTCAGCTATCTTTCTGGTCTTTTAGGTTCTTTTTGAGATCAGGAAAAAAGACACTTCCTACCACCCTTTCTTTAAGTTATCAAATCATGCTTTGAGCCTCATCTGCAGATCCTTTGTCATGAAATGCTTTTGCATTTTCATTCAGCTATGTTGCTGAATGAAAATAAATTGCTGTTCATGCCTTCAGCATCATTCTCTGTTTTGTTTTTCAGTGTTCCAACATTCCAGAGCCTTCCTGAAGAGATCCTCAGTAAACTTGCTGACGTCCTTGAAGAGGTAATTGTTTTTAGCCCTTGAACTTTTTGAGATGGGACCCGGCCCATCACAGCTGTGTGATGATGAATCACAAACTATAGAAAGTCTTTTTAAATATTTTAAAGCTCTGGAATGAGCTATATATTTGGATTTAAATAAAAAGTAGCTCAGCACATCTGACATTTGTACACAGAAATGTACAAATCAACTTTACAGAGGGAGGAAGACTTGCAGTAAATATGTTACAAGAATGGGAGATGACAAAAATTGTAGTAGCTGCCGCTTGTAAACTTCAGATTAGCAAATTTATATTGGAAATGAGTACTTCTGGTATATTTTATAGGCAGTGACTTTATGCACATAATTTTATGCCTTTCACTATTCTTTTTTCCATGAAACCATGAATAGAGAGAGAGAGAATAGTGTGTACATAATACTTAGTTGTAGCCTTTTAATTTCAAGGTACATTCCAAAATACTAAGTAATTAGGTGAATAGAAGTGAAATGAGATGCAAATGGTCACTCTTGAGATAAAGGTTGATTCAGGATTATGGAACTCCACATGAACCTTTCTTGCCTATAAATTCCCTTATTTCTCTTCAGATGCTAAGAATAAGACTTCATATTGATTGTTTGTGTTTGCTATGAAATTATTATTGAATGGCTATTACATTGTGGGCTCTCATGGGCCCTGGACATGCAGCAGTGAAAAATTAAAGCAGGACAAAAATATGTTCATGCTATTTGAAGAGCAGGTAGGAACATGAGGAACTCAATAGTAAACTGCATATGTTTTAAAAAGCATATGGTATGTGCATTAGAGATAACTATTTTTTAAAGATAGTTTTATCTTTATTAATAGTTTAATGCATCTGAGGAAGCTATTTGATATTTATTATTAGTGAGACGCCATGAGGTACAGTTGTAGACTTACAAATTTTGTGCTTGGGTTTCAATTATACAATGATCAAATACCCATCCCTCCACCAGTGCCCATTTCCCACCACCACGGATCCCAGTATCCCTCCCATCCCCAGAAAAGCATATAGAATTTAGGGATTAGAACTTTTAGCTATAGTTGTCAGTTGATTTAAGAGGTGAAGTGTTAGAGCCAAAGAAATAGTCAATATAAATGTTCCAAAAAATAGTGTGTCTGAGGAATGCCAGGTGTATCTGGGTGATCAGTGGGGCAAGATTGAAATGAGTGATCAGAGGTAGATGTAGGTAGAGTGTAAGCAGGCAGAGCCTATAGAATCATTTAAGTATTATACTTATTTTGGTTTTTACTTGGAGAGGTTATAGTCACTGGCAATTCTAAGGAAAATCTTGTAATTATTTGGCATATATATTTAACAGAAGTACTATGATACAATGGAAAAAGTAACCTGCTGCTTACGTGATAAAAGATAAATGAGGGTGATCATGTTCAGTGTGATAGAAGATCAATAAACAGATTCTGACTGTATTTTGAAGTTGAACCTGAAAAGTTTTTCTCTTGCAATAGATATATGACATGAGAGGAAAGAAGTGAAGGATGACTTCAATGGTACTTTGAGATACAAAGATGAAATTGTCATCCTTTGAAATAGGGCACACTAAGTGAAGAGTTAATGTCAGAATAGGTGAGACAGATTGTGGAGAAATGAGCTAAGGGGTTTTGGCAGAGGGGGGTACTTTACTATAGTGACATAGTTTATTATAGTGTCACTTTTGTATCAGGGATTAGTGGCCAAAAGGGTGTTATTTGGAAGAGTTCCCTGTATACAAGTACTAAGTAGAACTCCACAGAGGGTAACAACCACCAATTATAATAATAGCAAAAATGGATCTTAATGATGTAAGTATTGAGAGGGAACTGTGAAACAACACTAAAAAACAACATTGTTAATGAAATATTATTATGCATAAGAGTGTACGCGTATACTTTCACGAAAGGGTACTTTGCGAAGAGTCATTTTAAGTGAATATTAAATATGAGATACATGTGAATGAACATATGCTGGAGAATGGAACAGAGAGAGCAAAGAGATCAAGAATGAATAAATTAAAAAAAAGCAGTGAAATTTAAAAGAGCAATAGAAAAAATTGGTCATCAATCCTTAATATTTCAACTTAAAGAGAGTTTGTACTGTAATAGCCTGTGAAGAGAAAAATCTAAAAGCAGTTTGGACATTAAACTGTAGGAGAATAAAGTCTTTCATGTAAAAGGCTAAAAAGATTTTTTTTTGAAAAGGCGAAGAGAACCCTGGGACAGTCAGTGGAAAGAGGATAGGAAAGAGGACACTAGTACAAAGAATGTCATGGGACAAAGAGGAGCTTTACATGCAGCCTTGAGTACGTAAGTCAGTCTTGAGTGAGCCCAGGAAGACAAGCTCTCTGGCACTACAGAAATAGGGACAGCAGATCATGATGCAGGGACAATCACACAGATGAGTGGGCGGTATGCTTATTAGAAAGATTAGTCAGAGAAAAAGATTAATTTCAATACCTATGGCTGGGGACACTGCAAGAGTGAGGATTCCAGTTTTAGTGGAGGGAGGTGGGGCTTTATTTCTCATGAGCTGAGTAATGGGACAGGTTTCAAGGACAATGGAAAGGGACTTGCATGATGATAAGACCAGCTGCTCATTAATTCTGTGTTTACCCTGCTGTATAGATAGGCGTCTCTTCTTAAAAAGATGTTTTCTGCAGATAGTTGTAATTCTGAAACAGACCCCTAATTTTCAATTCTTACTCTCATTAAGGCAGTGGTTAAAGTTTCTCTTGCCTTCAAGGTCTCAGATGACCTTCGTCCGATATAATCCGCAGGCACATGTGCCCATCTTGGGCAGACCAGTTCTCAATACCTGCAAAATTCAGACTCAACTGATGAAATGAGAGGTTGGAGGAGTTTCAAGTCCTGGGCTAACTGTAGAAAAAATATATTGTAGGAATACTTTACTGAATTAAAGAGCAGTATAATGGGGAGCAGTTAGGTCTACTCCAAGAAAATGGAACTCAAGAGACTAGCGGAGAAACCAGCTTAGCACTTAGTCAAGCTGAGGGAGTTGTTTGTCTTGTTAACTATTCTGTTTGGTTCGTATTTTCCATCTGCCCCATTTATGTCTGGACTCCCATCCCAAGCAGGAAAAGAATTGAATTTAATTAAATCTGGATTTTTTTAAAATATAAAAGCAGGGTTGGGAAAGAGAAGTTTGCTTGTGAAAATGATTTTAATGATTGACCTTGGTATTCAAATCAGGCAAGAGGGCTAGAATAGTCAGGATAGAGCAAGAACTAGTGACATATTACAAGTTCAATGAATTTTCTTCTCATAAGGTTGACAAATTTTTGGATAATATTGGATAATAGAGTGAGCTCTAAACATATTAAAAGTGTTTTTGCCTCTGGGCACTAACTACAAGTAGTTCGATTATCTGTAGAATTTCAAAGACTTACATACATAAATTCTTAGAGACTTATTAAAGTAAGATTTCCTATGAATTATTGGCTTCCCCCATTTTTTTTGTGAGAGCAAATGTGAAGCAGAAGGCACTTTGGATTTCTGTGTTCAACTAAAAATCTCATGAGAAAAAATAATGGATAATTTTTTTTTCTGACTCACTGACCCTGTACTTGTAGTCTCTATAAATATAAAACTGCTTTTCTTCATATTTGGTATCTTGCTCTGGTGGCCTTTTTCTTTTTTTCAAAAAACAAACAACCAAAGTGCAAATTTACTAGCTCCAATCAGGCTTCTCAAACAAAAATAAAGTAAGCAAACATGAAATCCTCTAATCATTTTCTTTCTTTTCCACAGCTGTGGAAGCATTTGCTGTTTTGCAAAAACAATAGCCATGGTTCTATAAATAATTCTGACCAAAGAAATATTTTAGTATTTTGTGTCAGATTTCCTAATCAGAAGATGCCTTCATTTGTTTTTGGATTGTATGAGCTCTTATACAGTCTTGTTGCTTGAAAATGGAAACTAATGATTAAATGCCCACATATTTGTCTTGAAGACATAAAGATGAAATAAGCAGACAAAATACAAAGTAGGCATATGAATATACTACCCAATGCATGAAAATATTCAAGTCAAATTGAATAATAACACAAAAAATTATATTAAATTTTGTATCAGATAAAATGAAATGAATTTAAAAGAAGAAAGCAAGAACAATGTCACATAACATTATTTGGAAATGTGCTTACATAATAATTGAACTGTCTTTCTACAAATAATTGGCAAGATGAAAGACTCCCAGATTGTTTTTTAAAGGGAAACATAATTTTTGTTTTGCTTTTTTTTCTAATTTGGATTTAGGTACTATGATTTACAACATGGTTAGTAAGAGCTTCAGGCATATAACATTCCATCTCCATACAAACCACCAATGTCAACATCCCTCCACCACTGTCTCACGATCCCCTTTGATACCCTTTGGTGGCCCCTCACTCTCTTTTTGTTAATATAATTTGAGTCATATGATTATAGTATTATAATAATATTGATACTTATGTATTTTTGATGGGGGGATACACCCGGCAATGTTCAGAAGTGACTCATTGGCCTGCACTCAGAGATTAATCTCAGTGGTCCTTAGGAGACCATATGGGATGCTGGAATCAAACCTTGATCTGCTGAGTGCAAGAAAAACACGCTAACTTCATCCCAGCCCAACGCTTATCATTTTGATGTATATTGTTTTCTCACCTCCCCATAACCAAAATTTCCAAGACCCTCTATTAATATCCTAACCCAGCCTGCCTCATACCTGCCTGGTATGTGTGATAATATTAAACCTCCTGATTTTAAAAAATATTAAAGTTAAAATATCAGAAGCAATGGTACTTCTTTGCTATTGCTGATTCTCTTATTAAAAAATTGGCTTTGATTGTCAGAAAAAAACTTCAGGACTTAACTGTTGGACCAGCTTTTTAAGACCATTTAACCTGTGAGTCTATAATTTTGTCTGATTGGATCTTAGATATGTTTAAACCTAAACAATAGGTCAGAGGCCAAGGACATAACTCCAGAA